ATTTATCTACTACCTATGTTGCCATATTTTCAAGAAATTATGTTTTTTTAAGTAAAAACTAAAAAAAATTCAAACATTTTTTTAAAAAAGTTCCAAATCTTTAAAAAAAAATTCGCGAAAAAACCTCATAATCGTGTTAATACGCTTAAAAATATTGGCACTTCTCTAAGACTCGCCCTGTATATAATTTTTTATATTTTCTTTTTCAACTTTAATGTTAAAAAAAATTGTTAATGTTTTCTTGACTTAATGTTATAATAAGATTTGTATATTGATATCATAGTTTTCGATTAAAATTTATTAATTGATCGTAAATATCAAAATCAACTAATGTTAATGGATAAATGTGTACCAGAGAATAGTATTTTTTGGATTAAGAACTAGTAATGCCCAGATTTACGCGACATTTTCTTCTCTACAGGCCTCTAATTTACCCTGATCTACTTTTTCTCGAATCGAACTTGATTTATCTACATGCTCGTCCAAGGTGTAGCCGCCTTGTTTGGAACCTGCCGCACTCTTCATGTCAGTACTTTGTAAAATATATTTGTTGGACAAGCCAGTGGTGTACCATCTACGGAGATAGTTCATGAATACGATGAATGTATAATTATTATTTATTAAGTTACTTAATTGACTTTTTATTTCAATTTTATGTATTGCTGCCAAGTACAATATGATCGAAAAAAAGGCGTCAGCGATTGCTATGAAATGAAGATCGCTGTCATTTTATATGTAAAATTATATGGGGAATATCATCGATGTTCATTTCCAAGCCAACTTGACGCGGTTTTTTTTTTCGATCATACCGTATTAATTTTTATTTATCTATAGGATATTATTTTTTAAATGTATTCCCAGATATTCACCAGAATAAGTAATGAAACAGATCAAATGAAGAAATTAAATAATAAAAACTTAAAATTCGGTAAGAATTACTACCTTTATATCATTTCAGAAACTCTCGGCGGCAAGACAATGCAAGGGTATTAATTTTCTTCTATAGTAGACATTATGAAGCTCGGATAAAACATAATATACCGGGTGCGTCTCGAAAGTGGCTCACCCCTATAACTTTTTTATTTTTTCAGATAAAATAACGAGACTTGGTACGTTAGTAGGTATATGAAATAAATCAGGATTGATTGACGTATTCAATTGTTTTTGGTCACTTCCTGTTTCACCGGAAATGACTACAACTTTTGATTTTTAAATGGCACCTTCGTTATATAGTTTTTTTTACTTTATTCGATAGAAAATGACATTCTGAATACAATGACATATCATATGTGAACTTTTGACATTCTCGCTTAATAAAAAATTGTATTTTAAATCTCAATCTAGAGTGCCATGGCTACGTTAAGAACACTAATTCTTAATCAAGGATCCTTTCATATCTCAATTTTTTCAAATAGAACGAGGGTGGCTCATTAGCATATTTGGAAAAAGCATTTTTTTACGAATAACTTGATACCACACACTTGGTATTTCGAGTAAAATTTTCGTTACGAACCGCAAATTATAATTTCAAATAAACCATATGGAAAAATGGCAAAAGTTGACATGTGATATGTCATTCTATTCAGAGTGTTATTTTGTTAATCTAAGGTTATTTTCTATCGAATAAAGTAAAAAAATCAAAAGTTGTTGTCATTTCCGGTGAAACAGGAAGTGATCGAAAACAATTGAATACGTCAATCAATCCTAATTTATGTCATATACTAGCATACCAAATCTCGTTTTTTTATCTGACAAAATAAAAAAGTTATAGGGGTGATCCACTTTTGAGATGCACCGGGTAGATATAGGACATAGAATAGACGACATCTTCTCTTGGGGACACCGCATTACGGTTCGTATTTAGAATAATTCAATTTTTAAGACAACTACTTATTATACTACTACAACTTATGCCTACTACTTGTAGTTTTAGAAAATATTTTAAGAAATAACTTGTGTATCAAAGGTCTAAATAATTTGATGATATTGGGCTTTGTTGCTACTCAATCTTAATGTTATTTGATGTAATTAAAATGTTCACTAGTGCTAAACAAATGCAAGTCCAAGCCCAAGAGGTCCTTGGTGTTACACTCTAAGCAGTCGTTTTGGTTTTGCAGGGTCTAGTCTTGGTCTCGGTCTTGACGCAAGACACTTAAACTAGATAAAATATTTAAAATAAAAGCAGTTGTTCAAGTAATTTGAAGCAAATGAAACTTTAAAGCAAGAAACAATATGTGTCTGTTAATTTTTATGTTTTTTAATATTAAGTACAGAGCGATCAACAATGACCGAAAGCTGTTCTGATTAGCAATAAATTTAGAAAATTCGAATATACAGGATGAGTTTTCTACGATGTTCTCCATGGGTATCTCGGAAACTACTGGAGATAGAGAGTCGGTTAAATGGGGAAAGAATTGCAGTTTTGTGAGGTCATAAATATGCGCCTTTCAGATTTTTGAAAAAGTTCATGGCTTACTAGATATTTCGAAAAAAAAACAAATTTTGGTCATTTTGAAAATCGTTCCTAATTCCATTATAATCTATTTTAGAGAAACAGTTTTCGGATAAAAGTTGTAGATAATCACATCCCTAATGAGTTTGTGTTCACCGATTTTTTCTAAAGCCTGTCATGTTTGACATATGACACAAACATATGTTTTTTTAAATGGAAACCATAGTTGGCCATCACTTCATAAAAAGCGCCATTTTTTAAGCTTTTCGGCGATATAAGCTATACTATGTTTTTTTTTTTCGAAAAATTACAGTGTCATAGCCAATTCTTATCCTTCTTAGTTGGTATGGTATTCTTATTCTGTTATATGATTTATAACTTATAAAAAGAGAGAATATATTATTAAACGGTTCTTTACAATTTACATAACACAAAATAGAACTTAAAAAATAATATCAGTACATAAGTTATTTTCGAAAATGTTAAAAAAATCCGCCATTGTTTTGAGTTCATAAATGCATCTTTTTAAGACTGAATTGCTAGCTATATTCACAGAACGACCGGTCGAATTTATTAAACTTCTCCTCTCCCGCCTCTTCGAGCGACTCTCTTAATTCATAAGTTCTTTCGTAAATCTTGTTGTTAACCATACCGCATAAAAAATCTAAAATTTATAGGTCAGGTGATCGAGGAGGCTCATGCAATTGGTCCACCTCTTCTTATCCCTGAGTTTGCATAATTATGATATAAATAATTTTTAACATTTCTTTCTTTATGGGGGGGGGGGTTAAGTTAAGTTAGGGGGGGAGGGGAGGTGTCAAAATTAAAGTCATGTTGGAACCACCTTATTAATGCGCAAGTCTTTAAATTTAACTTTTCTAACATGTCTTGAAAATCGTTTTCTAAAAAACGTAAGTAACGTTCACCGGTCAACGTATCCTCGAAAATCTATGGCCAAGAAAAGTTGAACCAATAATCCTACACGCTTTTCTTCATTTGAAAAATTCGTATTTACAATTTTAATTTACAAAGTTTGGATGTGACAGTTTCACATTTTTGAGAGCAACGACGATTGAACTTGTTTCCATGGCTAACTAAGTGAAATAGTTTAAAAATGTTAAGAAATGGCTCTAACTCTTATTATCTATATTATGAAGTCATGATCAACTATGGTTTCCATTTAAAAAAATTGGCGCCGGGAGGCACGTATAGCCGCCCAAACTAAAATATGTTAATAAAAAGTTGGTAGGCAGTTCTTTTAGTTTCAAAGTAATGGAATTTTTCCATTTTTTTTATCTCAAAAACTGCGACTTTGACTGATTTTGATGTTATTACAAATTTTGTTGCAAATATTATTCCTAATCTTAAATTGAAAACCGCGTTTCGCTAGCTACTGTAATTTTGGAGTTACGATTTTTTAAAATTTTTAACCCCCTCCTATACTCCCTTACCAACCCCCCACTCCCACCAAAAACTAATGGCCAGATTCTCGGGTGCCACAGTATTTTTGTGCCAAATTTGGTTAAAATCGGTTTAGCGGTTTTTGAGTTATCGTGTTACAGACGGACAGACAGACAGACAGACAGACCGACCATGAAAATATTTTGTATTTAGGTCATTAATGACCCAAATAACTCATTTTGAGTGAAATTAAAAAAACTGTTTGTGTCATATTTCAAAAATGACAGACTTTAGAAAAAAAACGGAGGACACAATCTCATTAAGAATGTGATTATGTACAACTTTTATCTGAAAACTTTGTCTCAAATAGATTATAATGGAATTAGGGACAATTTTTAAAATAGCCGAAATTTGTTTTTTTCGAAATATCTAGAACTTTTTCAAAAATTTGAAAATTTGAAAAAACTTGAAAGGCGCATATATAGTTTTATGGGGTCATAAATAATGACCCCATAAAACTATAATTCTTTCCCCATTTAACCGACTCTCTTTCTCCACAAGTTTTTGAGATACCAATAGAGAACATCGTAGAAAACTCACCCTGTATATCGGCTGTTATCTCTAGAATCAAAACAAACAAAAATTAAATAATATAATTTTTGATAACATTAAAGTTCGTTTTCCATAATAATGTGAGAGAAATGAATAACATTTTGTGTTAACATCATTGAGGGCACAAAAGTTGGCATTGCAAACAATGCGAATTTTAGATCGTTTTAGTTCTATTTTTCTATACCTAGCTACAGCTATATTTTTACAGCTTGTTACTGAATAACTTTATTCCAAATACGCAAAATTTAAAATACGGCTCTGATGTGTTTTGTTGTATCGCAGTCGAACGTGAACTAGAACTGGTTACGTAACGTAAAAGATAAGATTTTTGTTGTGAGACTCTCTACCGATCGATACAGCAACTGACTGAAAATTTAACGGGAGACGTTCGATTTTAAAATCAAAACATTCAAAGCAATCAAACTCGTATTAAAAAAATGAAAGCTGAAACCAAAGGAATCATAAGGCTATGCGTCGACAGGCAATTTTTAGTCGGTCATTGGCCCCATAAGAATGTATCGTTTTCACTTTTGCAACTAAGTAGTCGGCCGGCTAAAAATTGCACGTCAGCGCGTAGGCTTCATAGCGGCATATTTGAGATGACGTGCGCCGAAAATGAACGACAGAAGCCGAGAACCGAACAACGGAAACGGTATACTCGCAGAGTTCCATGTTGGTTCCATGTAAACGGTCGTGAATCGATTGACTGGGTAAATAGACTGTGATAGTATCTAGTAAATATAAGGTAAGGAAGCACTTTTTTATAATTATTTAATGTTTCTATGATGTTATATATAAGATTAGGGAAATGGACGAGGAGGATTGGGCCGAAAAGTTAATTCAAACCATCGAATCAAAACCCGCTCTTTATAACAGAGCAATGAGAGAACACTCAGATAGAAATACAATCAAACAACTTTGGAATGAGGTTTGTGAGGTTATGGTGGAGAATTGGAATGTACTACTTCCAGCGGAGAAGACAGCAAAAGGTACGATAAATAATACAACCAGTATAGATACGTATATTTTTAGAAAAAAACGTAGAATTTGAATTACTTACATGATACAATGGTATCATATAGAGATGAGCAAAACTGCGATTGCGATTTTTAAATTGCAACGACTGTAACCTGCGATTTTAATATTTACCAAACCAAATTATTCTTAAAAAATGCCTTTTTTAAATATGTCAATAAGCCATCCTTGTTCCGTTTGAAAGAAATGAGATATGATTAAAAATACCATTTGAGCAACTTTTAACTGGCCAAGACAAGACGCGAAAAACAACAGACGATCAAATCAATTTTTCCAAGGCATCTTGATTAAAATTAGTGTTTTTAACACAGCCATGACATTCTAGATTAAAATTTAAAATCCGGATTTTTCTTAAGCGAAAATGTCGAAAGTTGCCATATGATATGCCATTCTATTCAGAATGTCATTTTCTATCGAATAAAGTAAAAAAAATACCGAGAATGTCATTTAAATATCAAAAGTTGTAGTCATTTCCGGTGAAACAGGAAGTGACTCAAAAAAATTAAATGCGTCAATCAATCCTATTTTATGTCATTTTTTAATATTCCAAATCTCGTTTTTTATCAGAAAAAATAAAAAAGTTATAGGGGTAAACCACTCTTGGGAAACACCCCATAAATTATGATCTTGACCCGAGAAAATAATACCTTCTCTATAAATAAATAAAATCAGAGAAAAAATTCGATCGCATTTTACTATAAAACGCTTCAATGGGCCACAAAATTAATCACGATCTCAACAAAATCGCAACTCCTGAAAATTCAACCTCGCAGATAGAAGATTATCACGGTCCTATTCACAATCGCAGCAAAATCGCAACTCGCAACAAAATCGCAACTCGCAACTATAGTAATATTGGTTGCCTAAATTGACACGCGCAAATAGAAGAAATCGCAAATTTCAGGTTGAGATTGCGATTTTCAAATCCGATTGAATCGCAGTTTGCGATTTGTTGCTCATCTCTAAATAAGAGCATTGCTTTAAAACGTCAGTGTTATTCATGAGTAAAATTTTCACATTTTTATTTATGATTTCAAATTTAGAATAACATTGCACATTTACAAGGCATGGACAGATTTGCGCTAAATTGAAATCTATATACAGAGAGAGAGAGTCTTCAATAAGTGCAAAAAGTGTTGTTTTTTGCTTCCTCTAATATATTCTACTACTTCTATATCCATATTAAGGTTGATTCTCACTATACCTTTCATATCAGCTCCCTTCCGTTTACATAAAATATTATATCATGCAAATGAATAGAACAATGCACACTATCCGTTCCGTTTCATATCCTTTCCTTCCATACATTTTTTTGGCGGACGGACTGAAGAGTATCGGAAACAGCGTTGTCAAGTTCTTACATTTGTACCAGCTCTGTTAAAATTTTACTGATATTTATTTATTCTTTCACCTCTTAATTAAATCTATTACCATTTTCAAAAGATACAAATTTTAAAAATAAAACTTTCATAACGATATAAATTGTACAATAAAAAGTATGGAACTGATACGGAATGGAAGCTTACGTATAGCGTCAATACAATAAAAAATACGGAACGGATATGGAATGGATATGGAATGAAAACGGAACGTATAGTGAGAATCAGCCTTTAGCAAGATCTCTTTTATCTCTTTTTTTAATGAAAATTAAAGAAAAATTCGAAAAAAAACGAAGAAGAAATTTTCAAATTTTTGTCACGTAAAAAACTTAAGTTATAACCAGGAATAAGTTTATTCCTGGGGTCGAAATATGTCACCTCTAAAAATATTTGCACTTATTTAAAACTCATCCTGTATTGTATAAGAAATATTTAAAGAAGTTTATGAAAATTATACACTGTTTGTGTCAAACAATTTTTTTGTAGGCAATGAAATTCAGCAGCGTTGGCGAAACATGAGAACGTGCTTTAAGAGAGAATTAAATAAACAAAAAAATAGTGACTGTGGACAAAAGTTTAAACGTCGAAAATACATATACTTTAACAAACTATTGTTTCTGTTGCCATCAATAGAAGACAGATCAGTTGTAAACGATATTAACTCTCCAGGCTCCTCAGTCAAGGAGGAATATAAAACTACATCGGATAGTGAAGAGGATGTTTCCGTCCAACACCTTTATCCTATCACTACCTTTAACCAACCGCCACAAAAATCATATGAAGAGTCATTATTGTCCATCCTAAATGATAAAAAGACAGAGGATATAGATGAAGATAAGCTTTTCCTGCTTTCTTTAGTACCATCCTTTAAGAAGTTTACAGACGATGAAAAATTAGAAGCGAAAATGGAATTTCTCAAAGTAATCCGACGTATTACACAGTCCCATCAGGATTCAGCCTCTTCATACCCTACAAATTCATGTAATGACGTTAAATTAGAATAATTGAGCCGCAATACAGCCAACAACTACAAAAATTTCCGGAATTGTGCATTCAGCCCTGGACCATCATCTTCAAATACAAATATTTCAGATTCATAGTATCATCCCAACCAATATCCGCCTTAATAATCCTGGGGTGGAACTCTGTAACTAAATAGCGATCGGTAGCGATGAAGAATACTGATCTTGGCTTTAAAAACTAAACAGTAAGCGACATTATTCTTCATCATCACCGATCGCTATTTAGTTACAGAGTTCCACCACTTCCTTGTTCTTCCTCATTCCTTGTATCACATGTTTTCGATTTGGGTTAAATTTTGTCCATATTTACATGTTTTTTGAAGTTGTTTTGTTCGTTTGAAGTGGAATAAATATTATTATAAAATTTAAAGTTTTTTTTCTTACATCAATGTTACTGACTATAATGACTATATCTCTTCTGGAGGGATAGAATCTCTCCTCTTGGTAATCTAGCATTAATGGCCTAATAAACCAAGAAAACAAAGTTCATCAAAACTATTCACGCTCTAAAGAATTTATTTGGATAAACGAATATAACCCGTGAGAAAAATGACACACAAGAGTTGAAGAAAAATAAAATATATGGAATAATTCGAGCGTTAACAGATCGTATTGAGGCTAGCCTAGTAAATTTAAACCATAAAAGCCGTTCGTTAATAATATGTCTCAATTTATCGGCCCGTAGTAGACAGAATTATAGTTTTCTATTGGGCAAATGATAACGTAAACTGTACTTGACTGTACCTTCCTTGGTAGTAGGTTGAAATTGCAGAATTGCACTATTTTGGGTTTGTGTTTGTTTCAATTAACTCTCAACAATTACTTCTTGCTAATTATTATTACGTACTAAGCAAATACCTACTAGTAGCATAAGTAGTAAGTAAAGTAGCCAGTGGCATGTTGATTATTATATTATGATTTAGTAGGACCGTGAACCATCAGAAAATTTTTCCTAGGTATCTAAATGTAAATTGGCAAAACTTGGGCTTTTGAATTTTCTTTTAGTAAATCGACAGAATTTGTCGAATCATTTGTGTGTAATTAAACAAGTAATGTTCCAGATTTCAGTAATAGTATATTACATACCGAGGAGGGAAGTATTTCATTACTGTCGAGAGATTAACTAAATCTCGAGACAATAATGAAAACTTTCCTCTGGGGTTTGTATACTATTTTATTTACAACCACATCATTAATTAAAAAATAGAGACAGTATTTTATTTTGAAAAAGCAATAAATATTCGAAAATTTGTCGTTTTCTGTTTTGGCATTTCCATATCTATAGTTACCGGTACCAATGGTTTTGTTATGGCGCAAAACAAACAACTAAGTGACAGTTTTGAATTTCTCGTTCGCTTTTTCGAATTTATATATAACATAATGTTTGTTCCAACCGGACGAGAGAATCGTCGTAGAACGGTAATTTCCTATCAGTCAATTCATTTGTTAATCTTGACAAACGATCAAACTTTTCAAACAATAAGTGGGCGACTAGAAATTACCGTCCCAGGATCGGTTCTCAGTCCGGTTGGAACGAAGATATAGAAAGCCAGAATGTTGTCGGAAAGTTCTGATAATTAAGACTACTTTAATATTGGTACTCCACCAGAACACATACAGAAGCTGCAAAAAGAACAGAAGCCAGTTTACTTCTAGAGAAAAGTAGGGGGCGATATGAAATAGCATTGATAAAGTATACGAAAAATTGTGTGCCGAAAGAAATGCTAAGAATATTGCTTCGGAGACAGTCTTGATGGCATATTTTAGCGACATGGCAAGGCAGGAGAAGCCATCTACTCTTTGGGCTACGTACAGCATGATACGGACAATGCTAGAATTAAGGGAAAAGACTGACATATCAAAATATCACAAACTCGTCGCTTTTTTAAAACGCCAGAATGTAGGCTTTCAGCCAAAGAAGTCTAGCATTTTTACCAGGCAAAACTTTTCAACAAATAAATGTATTAAAATCTTCAATTATTATTGTTAAGCTTCTTGTTTATTTTTGTTGATGTTAGATAAATATTTAATAAAAATATTACAAGAATATTTTGCTTAATTAAATGAAATGGGTGAGGGAAATGGAAGAGGGAAGAAATGTAGATAATTTGACACTTGGGATGATGTAGATAATTTGACGGGTGGGTCGGGAAATCAAATTTATTATGCATTTGACGAAGTAGAGCTCACTTACTAGACTATACATACCGGGTGGTGGTAACATCATCGTTGGAAACATAGGAAATCCCATGTAATTTTGAACTGTCCAAATATTGACTCTCCTATTAAATTTACAGCAATGCAATTTACTACAAATGAGTTTATCATTGTCCAATGTATTTTGTTGTGCTGTCTACATTACTACATTATAGTACCTAGGAGTTGTCTTGGTCTTGCGTAAAGTCTTGCATTGTTGGAAGGTTTTGTGGATCTGATGTTAGACTTGGCATTATTGGTCATTACTTTGGTCTTGCAATACCAAGACCAGTCTCGCTGATCACTAATTTTCACTGCTTTGAAAAATCGTGTTTTACCATATTTGATTAAAATTACAACATGCGAATGACTATTAATTAAAATATACCTAAATAAATTGTAAAAGATATAAGAAGTATTTAATATCAAATTACGGCATGAAAAATTGGTGACCTGTACTTGTGAAACTGTGTCTACTCGATCTGTGTCTATGAAAGGAATGCAGACAGAAAACATTGGACCTTGACAAAAGCCAGTATCTGAGAGGGTTTTATAGCGTTTAGTTTTCCATCTCCGATATCAGTCGTACCAAAGTGAAAAGGTGTTCTAGTGTTTCTCCATTTTCCCCACAGAATCTGCATACGCCGTTGGTTCTTAGGTTGAATCTAGGTTGACTTAGGTTGAACACCTCAGGTTCATTGAGGCGACAGTGTCCTGTTAAAAAACTCTGTGACAATCCGAAGATTCTTCATACATAAATCAAGGAAAGTCTTTGATTTTTCTTGGTCGTAAGTCCTGAGAAATTTCTTCGAGCGTTATAGACCGTTGGAATATTCTCATTCCAGGTTACGGATGGAGTCTTCCAGGTTCTTGAGTTGTGCTTTAAGTTGGTTTCCACTTGGGAAGCAAAATGGTTCTGGCCCAGTTAGTGGAGTGTTCGCTCTTTTTCTAGCTAGGTGGTTTGCTTTTTCATTACTTTCTTCTATCCCTTAGCTGGCACACAAAATAGGAGGACTTTATTTTCTTTGCCTAATTTGTGATTCATTTTGTGTTGCAGATTTTCGCAGTAAATTATAGACCGCCATAATATTGTTTGTTACTCCAAGTCATTTGTGGTCGTCCTAAGGTCATATTTCCGAAGACACAATAATTTATCATATTTAAACTTCGCGTTTATACAATTAAAAAATATTACCGTTAGCTGTAACGTATAATTCCGCAGATTAATATTCCGAAACAATATTTATGAATTTGTTAATGCCGTCCACGTTTGCGATGAGCTATTGTTTATGGCGAGCTTTTCTTCTAAAGGGAAACGTAATTTTACCTACATATTTGTCAGTTGAATACTTAGGTTGAACATCTTTCATAAACAAATCAGCCGACACTTCTTTTGGAAAGTGCCGCTTTTCTTTTGTATCCGTTAAGTCGACATTTAAAATTTCCTGCAGGTAAATATGTAACATTACACATATTATAGGGAATAATGCATAACTAAAACAATATTGTCATTACTGTATTGTATTGTATTTTTTAATGGTAGTCCTGTTAGAAACCCCGTGACAATCCCAAGATTGTTTTTACTTAAATCAAGGAAAACCTGTGATTTTTCTCGGTCGTAAGTTCTGAGGAACTTTTTCGAGTGTCTTAGACCGTTGGAGGATTCCAAGTTACGGATGGAGCCTTCCAGATTCTTCAGTTCCGCTTTCAGTTGGTTCCCGTTTGGAAAACAGAACGGTTCAGAGGCACCCAGAGTAGGAGGACTTTATTTTCTTTGCCTAATTTGTTGAGCTTCTCTAGGCATTCTTTGACCAACTTCGAAATGATGGTTACTGAGTTGATCGCGTTTAGTGCTGCTTGACTATCGGATAGGATGGTAATTTCCTGTTTTCGATAGTTCCTATCTAAGATAAATTGTACGCATCTTTCGATAGTGTAAATTTCTGCCTATACTGGGTTAGGTGCCTATTGGTTCGGAGTATTTAGTTTTCGGTCCAAATACTCCTATACCCCATCATTATCCCCCATACACAAGAAAATTTGGCCTGCAGATGAAATCTTTGCGTTTGTAGGCCAGACCAAGTATATGGCAGGCCAAGCCTTTGACGGACCAAGCCTGTCACAGGCCAAGTCCGCGGACTTGATCTGAGAGTTTATATTTGTCTAAAAAAACAACGAAGGATAAAGTCGGCGTACTTTATCCTTCGTTTACGCTCTTTCTAAGCGGCAGTTTTCATGCCGATAAATATATAAAAATTGCTATAAAATGTCGAATTTTGTCCCAAACGAGAATATTTAATCGAGCAAAGATCTAATCGGCAATCCAAGTCCGCATGCCAAATCCGCCTACCAATATACGAAAGATTTAGTACGTGACAGGCCGCAGGACGGGCCCAAAGACTGGCTACGAAGGCCGGATCCGCAGGCCAGATTTTTTGTTGTATGGGGGGCTAATAGTAGAGATGAGCAAAACTGCGATTCTCCAATCTTAATTGAAACTACGATTGCGATTGTTAAATGCAACCAAATTATTCGTAAAAAAAAACTTATTCTAAATATGCCAATGAGCCATCCTCGTTCCATTTGAAAAAATTGAGATATGATTAAAAATACGATTTGGGCATCTTTTAACTGGCCAGGACAAGACGCGAAAAACAATAGACGATCAAATCTATTTTTTCAAGGCATCTTGATTAAAATTACTGTTTTTAACACAGCCATGACATTCTAGTTTGAAATTTAAAATACGATTTTTTTAAGAGAAAATGTCAAAAGTTGCCATATGATATGCCATTCTATTCACAGTGTCATTTTCTATCGAATAAAGCAAAAAAATACCGAGGGTCTCATTTAAAAATCAAAAGTTATAGTAATTTCCGGTGAAACAGGAAGTGACTAAAAATAACTGAATACGTCAATCAATCCTAATTTATGTCATATACTAATAACATACCAAATATCGTTTTTTTATCAGAAAAAATAAAAAAGTTATAGGGGTGAACCACTCTTGAGAAACAACTGGTATATTATTGATCATGGCCCTAGAAAATAATACCTTCTCTATAAATAAATAATATTAGAGAGAAAATTCAATCGCAGTTTACTATAAAATGCTTCAATAGACCACAAAATTACATTCCCAAC